CTTTTTTTTTTTTTTTTTTTATAGGTAAGCCACTTGAGTTCCCTGTGTATTCTGGTTATCAGTCCCTTGTCTGAGACGTATTTCACAGAAATATTCTCCCATTCTGAGGGGTGTCGATTCACACTAATTACTGTGCCCTGTGCTGTGCAGAAACGTCTTAATCTGATTTAGCCCCACTTGTCTATTTTAGGGATTATTGCCTGTGTTTTGGGAGTCTTATTTAAATAGCCTTTGCCTACCCCAATGTCTCCCAGAGTTTCCCCAGTGTTTTCCACCAGTAGTTTTATAGTTTGAAGTCTTAGGTTAAGGTCTTTGATCCATTTTGAGTTGATGTTTGTTAATGGTGAAAGATGGGGATTCAGTTTCATCTTTCTGCAGGTGGTAATAGGAAAGGATTCTATAAAGTGATCTCTGAAATCCTTCTGATGTTAAAATTCAGTTGTTTTTCTTGGATGTTTTCTTCCTTCCTGCCTGGCACCATGTACAGACATCAGATGTTTGTGAACTAAAAAGGATCTTCTGTATTTGAAATCCTTTTCCCCAGATAAAAGCATTTTTTTTAAGTTTATTTATTTCTTCCATGAGAAGAGAGAGAGACAGCATCCCCGCTAGAGTCTTGATGCTACAACCCATCCCCCACTGTAGTTAGCCTGCATCCTGGGCGTGCGTGTCACTGTGTTCAAGGGCAGTGTCTGGATGTGAACTCGGGATCTTCCCACATGGGTCAGCCCCGCAGAGCTTCGTGTTTTCCAGCTGCACCGCCATCTGCCTTCCTCAAAGCATTTTGATAGAAATTCAGAATGATTGCCGAGAATATCTAAACATCCAGCAAGTGCAATGTTAATCAAAAATAACAATGGAGGCTTGTCTTCACCAGGGGGGGGGAGGCTTCAGAGAGCTGTCCTTCAGTTTGCAAATGGTCCTCAGGCAGCCTGCTCTGTCTGCCCGCTGGGCTGCAGGCTGGCAGCCCCAGCACATCTGGTCATTTGCAGGCCTCCCCCTCATGCTCAGACTGCCTCAACTGATACGCTTGGCTGACTCTGTCAACGCCTTTCTCAACACACACAGTCTCGCTTTCCAAAGGAAGCCAGTGATGCCTTTCCGCAGAGAGCTGTCATCAAAGGCTACTGGCTGGCCGTCGGTAAAGAAGAGGCAAATTTGCATTCCCAGTGAGAGGTAGGAGGGAGACTGGTGGGGTAGCAAAGTTAGCCCAGGGTCCTGGCGACTTCGCTGGGTTCCAAATCCCCCCAGCTCTGTTCCTAGTTCTGACATAGGCTCGCCGTGTGTGAAAGAGATGAAAGGCAAGTTCTTGGGCCGGGGTCCCTCTTCTTGTTATAAATGAAGGCCATTGCAGCTGCTATTATCCCAGTAACCATAGTAACAACAGACCACATGACAGGGGCCTGATCTCCATCGATGTTCTCTGACTCGGAGTGTTCTTCATCCTTCCTTCCATCCCTACCCTGAATCCTACTAAGTGTGGTGGCACTGAGTGTCCCCTGGAGGAGCAGCTCAGGTGGGGGGACCTGGAGCTGACAGCATTAATTAAACCTCTTATTTCCCCCTGAACGTTTTGCATGGCTAGGCCCAGGAGTCAAAAATCCTCCCAGGGAAGGGTTTAAGAGAGTTTGCTAAGTCTAACGCCGGGACTCGGGCAGTGAATGGGACTCGCTAGGAGAGCAGACCTGGCATACAGCAGGTACACAATGCTGATACAAATGAGACTACTTCAGAAGACGGAGCAAATGGGATTCCTTCCGAGCCACTGGAAGTCCTGCATGAAAAGGTCGTGCGAGTGATGTAACTGTTACTGGAAGCTTCTGCACGTACACACGGTGATGGCGGGACATCTGAAGATGCTCCCTTGCTGGGTGAATTTCACCCCCAGGGAAGTGTTAGCAGGGACCACATCACAGAGGGATTGGGATCTGAGTTGAGTTTCTTGGTTTTATCCCTGGTGACGCTTTTCTTTTTTTCTTTTACATCTTTTTGTTTTGTTTTGTTTTGTTTTGTTTTCTCTGAAAGAGACAACTCAAACAGGGCCTTCACATTGAAGTCCTCCCTTGGTCTCAGCCAACCTGCTTCACGGGCACGTGTGCATGCCTGACATTCTTAGGGAGGGCCCAGGATAGGAACCCAGGCCTCGTCCCATGTGGTCCCTTCATTATGCAGGCTACAGGATAGGAACCCAGGCCTCGTCCCATGTGGGCCCAGCTACCTTCATTATGCAGGCTGTTTAATTTAACTCAGCAACTGTTTGTTGCAAGTTAGTTGTGTTCTAGGTGTGCTGGATACACATAAGAAGGGGTGTAGGCAATTGCATCTGTCACAGGACTTTCGAACTCCCAGGAAGCTGGTGACCCCATCTATTGGGTCATTGGAAAAGTCATGATGCATTTTTGCATAGAAACACACATGAAATACAGCATGACATTTCCAATGACCCAATATGATCTCTCAAGCCAGGCTTCCTCTGCTGAGCTGCAGCCGTGACTGCTGCCTGGTACCCCTGAGTCTCAGCACAGTGCCACCACCTGGCTTCTGTCCCTGGAGAATCTTTGAAGGCTGGTGTGCATTGAGGATGAGCTCACCTCCGCATTTTAGAAGCATTCTTTCCGATGCCCTGTAGGGATAGGGTCAGAGAGAGACTAGGGCTCTGAGCAGACAAATGATGCCCCGGAACTTCTGAACCCAGGCCTTAAGAGGCCTGGCAGCTTCTGCTTCCTTCCTCATAGAACCTGGCCACCCTGCTAAGAGAAGTCCCAGTCGCATGGAGAGACCACATGGAGAACAATCAAAGTGCATCTGTTGACAGCCCACTTGTGTTCCCCCTGGCAGCCATAATGGACAAGCCAGCCCAGCTGAGCCCCAGAAGACCTTGTGCTGAGCAGGAAAACCACCCCGCTGAGCCCTGTCAACCCACAACATCAGAAGTAATGAAGCAGTTGTTCTAAACTACTAAGTCATGAGTGGGTTCTCAAGCAGGTATAGATAATGGAAAAACCAGGGGTACCGGGCAGCTGTCATAGCTGCAGCTCAGCAGAAGGGGACTGGCTGGAGAGATCATAGATTTGGGGCCCATTGAAGTCCTCCCTTGGTCTCAGCCAACCTGCTTCACGGGCACGTGTGCATGCCTGACATTCTTAGGGAGGGCCCAGGATAGGAACCCAGGCCTCGTCCCATGTGGTCCCTTCATTATGCAGGCTATTTAATTTAACTCAGCAACTGTTTGTTGCAAGTTAGTTGTGTTCTAGGTGTGCTGGATACACATAAGAAGGGGTGTAGGCAATTGCATCTGTCACAGGACTTTCGAACTCCCAGGAAGCTGGTGACCCCATCTATTGGGTCATTGGAAAAGTCATGATGCATTTTTGCATAGAAACACACATGAAATACAGCATGACATTTCCAATGACCCAATATGATCTCTCAAGCCAGGCTTCCTCTGCTGAGCTGCAGCCGTGACTGCTGCCTGGTACCCCTGAGTCTCAGCACAGTGCCACCACCTGGCTTCTGTCCCTGGAGAATCTTTGAAGGCTGGTGTGCATTGAGGATGAGCTCACCTCCGCATTTTAGAAGCATTCTTTCCGATGCCCTGTAGGGATAGGGTCAGAGAGAGACTAGGGCTCTGAGCAGACAAATGATGCCCCGGAACTTCTGAACCCAGGCCTTAAGAGGCCTGGCAGCTTCTGCTTCCTTCCTCATAGAACCTGGCCACCCTGCTAAGAGAAGTCCCAGTCGCATGGAGAGACCACATGGAGAACAATCAAAGTGCATCTGTTGACAGCCCACTTGTGTTCCCCCTGGCAGCCATAATGGACAAGCCAGCCCAGCTGAGCCCCAGAAGACCTTGTGCTGAGCAGGAAAACCACCCCGCTGAGCCCTGTCAACCCACAACATCAGAAGTAATGAAGCAGTTGTTCTAAACTACTAAGTCATGAGTGGGTTCTCAAGCAGGTATAGATAATGGAAAAACCAGGGGTACCGGGCAGCTGTCATAGCTGCAGCTCAGCAGAAGGGGACTGGCTGGAGAGATCATAGATTTGGGGCCATCGGCTCCATGGAAGTGTATAATCCCAGCTGACTCCCAGCAGATGTTTGCTAAGTAACACCCTGCACAGTGAAAACACTGAAAAATCACTGTCTCCTTGATCTAAGGCAGGCCTCTTCATGCCTGGAATTCTAATTCCCCTGCTCTGAGCACACTTCTCTTACTCTCCCCTCCCTGAATCTGCTGTGTTTGTGTTCTTTAACCCCTGAAGACAAGTCCTTCCTTGGAGCGTGGACATGCAACCTGGGAACACCAGTGCAGGTGCAGGGTGGCGGTCCTGCCGGCTTCCCCACAGCCCCTCTGAGCCTCAGCTTCCTGGAGGAAGGGTGCCTGCAGATCTAAGCAGGGAGGAAAGGAGAACTGCTGGTCAACCGGAAAGGGACTGCAGACGTGAACAGTGATTGTAGACGTCTTCACCAGGACATGGGCACTCTCTCAACCCAGGTACCACCGCAATCCTCCACCTGCTGTCCCTGGTAGAGACACCACCCACATTCGGGGGATGGGGAATCCAGCTCCTGTGTGTTTGAATTGTTGAAAAGATACTGGAGGACTCCACAGCCTCCTAAGCCAGTGCCTGGGGGAGACAGTGAGAAAAAGGTTGGCATCCGGTAAAGAGACTTCACGCAGCCGAGCTGCAGGCCCGGAGCCCTGGTTTGTCCCTAGCCAGCTCCACCGGACTAAGCCCCAGCTGTCCCGGCATGTGCGTGAAGCAATAAGAATAGCTGAGACAGCCCTAAGGCTCCTTCTACCTGAATGGCTTGGCTTCTGCTGGGATGGGGGTCGAGTCACATGTTGGCGGGGCGGGGTGGCTGGTTGACGTGACTGGAGTCCAGCCTCCCGCTCTGACGTCCCACAGCCGTCCTCCCTCCTGGTCGCCCGCCCCGCCCCTCTGGGGGCAGGGG